CTCAGTTATTTTGTTAAGGGTGTTGTAGTGATGCAAAAGGTGCAGAACCTCTATTAAGAATCTTCACCATTTAATGTTGCACTGAAAATATTTACCCCTCTACCTCTGCACTGTCAGAATTTGTTTTTGAGCTGATGAAAAATATATGGTGACTTTTGATATACCCATTAGTTTGTGTTTTGTGTTTAATTTAAAAATATTGCTCATATATTTTTATAATGTTTCCATATAATTCACATGTATTTACAATGTATTGTATCATATTAATTAAACGTATCTGTATGTAGTTGTGACATATATTCCCATATAATATTTATACATTGTATCATATATCTTTACATATATCACTAATATATTGTCCAATATAAATTGCAATATATGATTAGTTATTTATAAATACAAAATTACATATATTTTGTACTATATAAATGCATATATTGTAAGTTATTTCGCAATATATTGCAATATATGAAAAGCGGCAATCATTTGTATATTTTGCAATATATTGCACTATATAACAATATATTATGGCCAATATATAATATATTGTAAAATATATGTATTGACAATATATTAAAATATATAAAATATATTACAGTTAATATATTGGAAAATATATTTTCCTTTCGTAAGGGATATTTACTGGATATGAAATCACAGTGGAGGCTTTTTGAAACAATCCGCTAATATCTCATTCTTTATGGATACTCTCAATTTAGGAATTTTTTTTTTAATGCTCGAATTGTATTATATGTTGAACAGTTGACAAAGCTTTTCATTTGTAGTCTAATTTCGGCATTAAACGGCTATATGAACTTTTTGTAGATGATGTATTTGCCTCTTTCGCCCAGCTAGTCCAAAGATTCAATAGTCCTAAATCACACTTTATATACTTGCAACTTAGAAGTTAAAAAGGCCTTAAAAAGGCCCTACAACAATGATGGACGATATTATGTGTTTTGATCCAACAGAAAAGGGGAGAATCAAGCACAAACAGTACTTCGTCGAGTCTCCCATAGGGAGGCTCCTGCCTTATCTAGAATTAAAGACTCGGAACAAGATCTTCAAACTCCACTTGGAGATGGACTTTGATTCAGTTTAAGATTTTCATCCGGTACACAATTCTAAGGTTTGATTGTCCAAACTTCTTCAGCTCTTTGTTTGACAGGTGTAAGATGGTGGCTAAAACTTTGATGAATATGTTTTAGTTATGCCCCAGTTTAGAAAGTAGTTTTGGCGGCGGAGTTGCGGCTGCCTACTGGGGGGCGAAAGGTCGTGGCTTTTTTGCTAAACTTTTGGCATGACACTTGATACTTTTGAGGTGGAAGGAAGCCGTACTAGTCGCAATCTTTGACTGGAAGTGTTGACGAACCTCAGGTTTGAGAAAATTAGAGACAGTCTTCGTGGATCAGGGTTCCCACTCTTCCACTTGCTTTTTATTTATGGGCCTTTTAAGGACCAATTTAGCAATTTTAAGGACCTTTTCTCCATTCGGCGGGGGATTCACGGTGGAATTAATGCCCGCTCAGGAATACGCGGGCTGAACAGAAAGCCACATATCACTGAGCTGGTGTTCAAATCATTGCTGCCAAAGGAAGGGCATATCTTTATTTTTAGGGGCAATCAGCTAACCCTTTATTTGACATACTGTATGTCAAATTTTCACTCTCCTACCTGTATAACAGGTAGGAAAATGAAAAAAAAAATTCGAATTCATTCTGAAATAAAGTACACAAAGAAAAATTTTAATTTAGAAAATATCAAACTTCAATTTATTTTAATAAACAGAACACTAAGAACAGAGCTAATGGTCATATGGGTCACCTGGACAGGGTTTAGAAAAATCCGGTTTCACTAACAAGAGTACTGATTGCCCATCTTAGCAGTATGCAGTACCAGTATACCTGAACAGCTGAAATGCATGTCAGAAGTCTAAATTCCAAATGGTCCAACCCTATTATTTTCCCTCATATCACCTTCAATAATCAGACATGTTTTATAATGACAAATATGAAACTGATAGTGGCGAACCCTCAGGGCCAGCAAGGCCTTCTCTGCTGGCCTAAACATTTTCAGAAAAGTAAATTTACTTTTCTGAGAATAACATTAATTTATGTTGTTTTATGTTCATAAATATGTAAACAAAATTATTCTCTGTATTCTTTACGTCATATTATTTCCACTTAGTCAAGTGGCTTTCAATGTTATTTTAAGTAACATTGAAAGCCACTCGATAAATAACTTATTTATTATGGTAGAGTTTTTAACCAATCATATTTCAGCTAGCTTGTGTTGCCAGGTAAATTAAACTTGCTCGCGGCCTTCAGATTAAACAGAGCAGGCCCCTGTGCGCTGTAAATGAACGGGCACAGTCAGGTCGCAATAGCCAATCAGATCACGAGTGAGACTCGTCTGCGTACTAGGGCCAGCTAGAAGGCCTTACGTCGAGACTGGCCATGCGTGTTCGGTGATTGGATTAGCGCCTTTTCTGTTTACTGAGAATTGTATCCGGACTTGTTCAATAAAGATTCTTTAAAAAAAAAAAAAAAAAAAGATTGGATTAGCGCCTGCTAGAGCTATCACTGCATTTTAACCCAAAATGGCCGAAGGAGAAGACGCTGATCTGGTTGCACAACTATTTTCCACACAATTTTCAAGACGGGCCTTCCACGAAAAGCTCGATATTGTGCAAAGAGGTCGCCCAACTCCTGCGCTAGCTAAAACGCTGCAAATTGTACTGCTGGGAATGCCTCTTGCTTGCAACTGACCGGTGCGTTTAAAAACGTTTGGGGACACTCGCATAGATCTGCAGCTCGGTGAACAGGCACGCCGGGAGCCGGAGCTCCACAATGAAAAAGTAAAAAAAAAATATATAGGGAGATTAAAATTATACCAGAAACACGACCGGACAAAAACGGCTTTCAGCATTAGCTTCCATGTCGACAGAAAAGGACTTGCTAATGGACCTGAAAACTGTACAACAGAGCCACTGAAATGTTCCTGAGAAAAAAGGATCGACTTTATTTTCAAATAAGCAGACGCTGTGGAGAACTACATTGGTGAGTCAATGAATTTTATTTTGCATTTCTTGTCATTTTATTTCGTTAGTATTAAATTCATGGTAACGAAATAAAATGACAAAGATACAAAAATGTATCAAAAACTGCTCACTGCAATTTATAATGGCGCATTGTGGTCACCTTCGTGCACTAAAGTTCGTTAAATCTCAGCTGCTCAACATTTTCAGTTATTTGCTGTTGTATAGCCTCTTCTCAAAATGCAAATGATGTTAACTTTATTTTCAAAGAATAGTTTGTTTTGTTATTGTTTGTTTGGTGTCTTATATGAAACTGCGACGTTGCGCAATTTATTGGACAGACTTGTTTAAGATCACACAGCGTAATGTGGGTGGCATTTTATTTCGTATTTTTAAAATCATCTTTTTTAGTTTTGACTATCTGTAAATGTAGTTTCCTGCTCTTAATTGTGAATGCATACTTGATGGTTTTAAATGCTCCTGAAATTAAGTGCTGCTTGACGAGCCTATACAGTATTGTGTTCATGTATGTGACGTCACTGAAGGCCTAAGGTTGAAATGCACGGCCCGCCACTGGAAACTGATATGACAATTAAGGAATAGTAGACAGTGACTTCGTTTTCTCCTCAATCTCTTTTGCAAGTTCTTGGCAATCAATTTTCTTCTGTTTTGCTGTGTGCTTCAATGCATTTGATTTGACCAGGAGGCTATGACAAGTTTTACCTCTCACGGAGATACCCTTCTTGCACACTCGGCAGTAGGCCGACGTATAATCGCCAGCAATTTTTCCAACCCAATCATGGAACTCCGGCTTCTCCACCCACGCCACTTGAAAATAGCATTGTCCCGGAATATTTGTAGCGATGCCACTCGAGCGAAGCGTGCCTCAGCAGTCGAAGTCCGCTGCTCTCTGCTGTGTGTGCGTCCGCGCGAACATGTACGCACGTGCACGTCTTTTGGTTTCAACCAATCAGCACCGACGCAACCGATGTCACGAATCAAATACACTTTGATCTACGACAACAAAAAGCTAGCCTAGCCGAGACAACAGCTAATCTTAGCTGACGCACACACAGCAGAGAGCAGCGGACTATCGACTGCTGAGGCACGCTTCGCTCGAGTGGCGTCGCTACATATTTGTCTGTCACTTGTTGAGATCGATAAATTCGATGAATAGATTTTTCCAGAAAATACGGTAATTGTTTGCTGAGCCGGCAACCAAACCATCCATTCACTGCCCCAGGATGGCATCGATCTATTGTTGTTACCCGGAATGACCCGAGGTGATCACGTGATCATCGTCGGAACTAATTCCTTCTTTCTTTCTTTCTTTCGTTTCTGATTGATATAAAAATGATCTATTTATATTAGAGCTGTCAGTTTAGCACGTTTTTATTGGCATTAATTTCCATGAATTTTAACAGGATTAATTTTTTTCTCGCGAGATTAACGCGGCACACATCACAGCGGATGTTACGTTGCTCTATAAATAAACCAGAAACAAAACAAGAAGCGCGCTGCATACGTCCACGCACGTTTGTTTTGCCAGCCACGGCAGCGTGAGACACCGAAAACGGATACTTAAAGAGTTTATGAATGGAAAGTTTACTTTTAAAAAGTTGCCAGATTGCTCCACTGACAAGACCAAAGTTACCTGTATCATACAGGTATACAATGTATGCCACTGACGCGATTGTTACTTGTTTGGAACTATTTTGTGTGGAAGGTTACAGTGTTCCGTGTCCATATAAATAGAGCGGGTGGAGCTTCTCTGTGTTCGTCTAACAGTGACGGGTGCGCTGAGGCGGTGACATGACAACAAAAGTTCAGCGGTGCAGTATCTAATTGATTCCGATTCCCATTTCAAATTGTATTTTTTTTTCTCACACTTGCAGAGGGGCTATGTTTGAAACAGAGAATTTGTGTTTTTGGAATACTAAGCTTGTATCCTGAGAATGATCCATAATGTTCCAAGAGAACAACTAGCCGAGCCAGAGAATACTCGGGGTTGGATAAATACACCAATACGTCATCAGCAAACAACGAGATAACTTGTTCTCCCCCATTCATCACTATTCCTTTCATATTGTCGTCCTGTGTGATCCACTGGCTCAGGGGTTCAATAAAAATAGCAAACAAAGCGGGACTGAGTGGACAACCCTGTCTTGTTCCTCGTTCCAGTCGAAAGGGATTAGACAAAGCTCCATTAATTTTAATTCTTGCCATTGGATTGTCATAGAGGGCTTGTATTATTTGAATCAAATTATTATCAAATCCAAATCTATCCAAAACTTTAGATAAAAAGGAAATTTTTAAACCACCTCCCTGAGGTCGATCAAATTTGCTCCGGTGTAAGTTGTTTTCCAGGGCTACCCCGGAGCAAATTTGCACGTGTGACCGCTCCACCGGCGCAGCGCCAGCGTAGCACCGGAGCAAATGTTGCCGTGTGAACACCCCTTCGGTTGATGAGCCTCTGGTGAATAAAGAGCAGGTATTCTGTTGAGTTCGATGTATGCCACTGATGTGATTGTTACTTGTTTGGAACTATTTTGTGTGGAAGGTTACCGTGTTCCGTGTCCATATAACTAATGGGGGTGGAGCTTCTCTGTGTTCGTCTGACAGAGACGATGCTCTGAGGCACGTCGAAAGTTCAGCGGTGCAGTGGTAGCGACCTAGCGAACACACTGAAAATAAAACGTCTCCAGTGTTGTCATCGAACCAAGTGTTGTCATCCGAAATGATGTCTACACAAAACCTGAAAGAGACTTGCATGCAAGAAGGACCAACAGAATCAACACAGCCTGACTGCTGTGTTCAAAGCAAACTTGAGAAAAACGAAGTATGCAACCATGGCTTAAATCCACTTTAGGCTGAGTACTAGTTTACCTTAGATGTGCACTTTATAATGTTATATTGCTCTGTTTTGATTCCATAGAAAGAGCTGTTAAAGCAGCTGTTGTGTGACAAAATGTTTTTTTCACTGTTGTTGATGGACAGTAATATTGTGTGAGACGTGTGAATAACTGCTCCAAGTGAAAAATGTTCATGTAAAATTGAAAAGCGAATTGTTATTTCAGTAAATATTTGCATTTTGCACATAGAAAACTGATTCATGATTCCATGTTGATGAGAGCACGGAGGACTTTCATCTCTGGACAAAAAAATATAAAAGGAAATTCAGAAACGACAAAAAATGTGTGAGTAATCACGATTAATTTTTAGTGAATTTGAGTTAATTATGACAGTTGCATTTTTAATTAGAATAATTATTTTAATCGTTTGACAGCTCTAATTTCTATATAAACACATAACACGGGGTAGGACTAGCTAAGTTTTTTACTACTTCCTACTCCCTTGAACATAATAATTGTGTTAAATGATGACTGATTTCGCTTTCCTTTATACTATTACTTACCTTACTTTCTGTCAATTTATTACTGTATATGTTTTTATGTTCAATAAACAAACAAACAAAACAAACAAATAAACAAAACAATTGGAGACGGCGGGAAAAGCAGAGCGGGTACCAGGTCCTGCATTTTCCAACAGAACTATGAATTGGAAGGGTGGGGAAAATGACATACACAAATGAAATGAACACAGCAGGTTAATTTTTATGGATTTTAGAAGATTTCCCTGAAAATTATGGACAATTCTGAACATAATTTTACAACCTCTTTTTATGGATTTTTATTAACTTTAAGGACCCGTACGAACCCTGTGGATATGAAAATAAATTTTACAGTGCTTGGGAAAATTTTCCTTTGTTTTTTTTTTTTTTTTTTTAAATTAGGTGTTCTGATGTGTAACAGCAGGCCATGTGAGAAGGGAATAAAAGTCGGTTCAGTCACAATCCAGGGAGGACATTTTCCAGTTTATCTTATTTGGACATAGATAAGTAGATTAAACCACACGGGCTTCAAAGCTCTCCCAGCTGACCAGCCCTCAATGACAGCCTCAACCCCTTTTTAAAGGAATACACCTGAGCTGCAGGCCAATCAGGTCAGTGCTCAGCAATTAGCCATCCACAGATGGTTGCAATTTCCTTCGCTGAAACAATCAGCTTACCACAAAACACATTGAGCACAGCAACCGTTTTGGATGGAGAGGAATGTGCAACTTTCTCCCCATCCAAAATCCACTGCATCCGTCAGTCATTAGGATGGGTTATTTGACTTTATGACTGCTGACCACAAACAACTTTTAGTGATGCACCACCATAGGTTAAAATTAACCTGCTTTTTTTTTTTAATACTTTTTTTGTGAAAGTGAAACTGCGAGGACGCTTAGTGTGCAGTGTGCACTCACACAACAAAATAATATATAAATTAACAACATACGCATTGACATGCATATCTTGTCTTTCCTCATTTCCCCCTAAATCCCTCCCTTCCCCCTACCATACATGGCAATGGCGAGTGATGAAAAAAGCGGAAGAGGCGTGGCCTGGCCGGGGGCGTGGCCTGGTCGGGGCGTGGCCTGGCCTGGCCGGGGCGTGGCCTGGCCGGGGCGTGGCCTGGTCGGGGCGTGGTTACTTTCAAAAAGGGCACTAAACATGCTGAAGATGA